TTGCAGGGGCCGCCAGGCTCGGGCACCCCCGGCCGGCCTGCCTTCTGCCGGCTGCGGGCGGTTTCCTGGCCGCGTGCTCGCCCGCAGCCCGGGCAGTGACGATGGATGGAAATAGCATCTTGTGGTCACCAGGCTTCTATCGCTGCAGCCCAGGCCCCCGGCTCCGTCCGAGCTTCCTCAGGGCCCCTCAGAGCCTTTGCCTCGAGCTGCAAGTCACGGTGGCGGCCCCGCCTGCTCCCACATCCGAGCCCCGTGTGTCCCCATCTCCCACCCAGTCCCCGCCGGGTCCCGCCTCGCCTGGTCTGTGCTTTCCACGGCTCCCCGGCCGCACCTCTGCACCAGTGAGTCCCGCTTTCTTCCTTGGCGTTTGCAGCGGTGAGGAGAGTTATAAAGGTGTCTTCCCTTATGTTAATGAGGTGGCTTTTGGAAAATCCCTAGGAACCAACCACGTGATTGGAGAGTTGGATCTCTGAAAGGGAGAGAGGCTGGAGGTTGAATAGTTTGCCAATGGCCAATGATTTAGTCAGTTATGCCCGTGCAATGCCCGTCCATAAAAACCCGGGGGGTCGCGTGGGTTTCGGGGCTGGGAGACTGGTGTTTGCAACACTTTCAGGATCCAGATGCACTAAGGTTCCTTGGGGGATCCCGCTGAGGGGACGGGGCGGTCGCGCTTCCCTTTAACCGGTGGTCGGGGCCTGCCCCTGGCCCTCTCACACCGAAGAGAGCTTCATTCTCTGTGCGGCGGGAGCGGGCGGTGGTAGGGGCTTGGCCTGGGTGGCCCGGGGCCAGCCCAGCTCTGTCCCTGGTGACTGGGCGGTCGCTGATCCTCGGTTTTCCCGCCTGTGGAATGGGCGCAGTGGTTCAGGCGACGTGTTCTGAGCTGCTAGCCCCCGGGGACTGTCCCCGTCTCTTAGCGTGCGGTCTCGTGCAATCCTCATAACAGCTTTGTTTTGTAACTGAGGAACCGGAAGCCCAGAGAGGCTAAGGAACCAGCCCAAGGTCACACAGCGAGTGAGAACGGCCTCCCACCTCCCGGGACCTGCTGGGGGACCGAAGGAGATGCTGGTTCCTGGAGAAGCCTTAGGGCTCTGACAC